ATGAGCAACTGGTGCCCAGCTTATATACTAAGTTTTTATAGCCCTGGTTTCAATTCCTTCTTTTCTTTTTCTTTCTTCTTCCTTCCTTTCTCTTTCTTTTTTCTTGCTTTTTTCCCTTCTTTATTTCCTTCCTTCTTTCTGTCCTTCCTTCCTTCCCTTCTTTCATGAAGGATCTTGCATTTTTTTTTCCAGGGGCTAGCTTCACATCATAATCATCCTACTTTGGCCTCTCACAATGGCTTTTTTTTTTCCCTTTTCTTCTTTAATGGTGGTACTTTTACTTTTATGGTTTGAGTTCAGAGACTTTTATGGTTTGAACTTCTTGCTAGGCTAGCACTTAACCAATGAGCCATGCCTCCAGCCCTTTTATTGTCATTTTTGAGATAGGCCCTTGCTTCTTCCCTGGGTGTGTGCCTGAACCACAATGGTATTGTTCACTTTCTACTAGACATGGGATGACAGGTGCATTCCATAATGCCTAGCTTCTTCTACTGAGATACAGGCTTGAGAAACTTTCTGTCTGGACTTTCCTGGAACCATGATCCTTCTGATCTTAGCTTCCCCCATAGCTAGGATGACAGGAGCATTCCACTGTGCCCAACTATTGTCTGAGATGTGGTCTTTCATACTTTTTTGCCTGTATAAGCCTCAAACTGTAAAGCACTTAATTTAAGCATCAAGTAGCTAGGATTATAGGTTTGAGGCATGGTTGTTTTTTTTTTTTTTGGGTCCGGTCATGGGGCCTGAACTCTGGGCCTGGGCGCTGTCCCTCAGCTCTTCAGCTCAAGGCTAGCGCTCCACCACTTGAGCCACGGCGCCACTTCTGGCTTTTTTCTTTTTTTGCTTATGTGGTGCTGAGGAATCGAACCCAGGGCCTCATGCATGCAAGGCAAGCGCTCTACCACTGAGCCACCTTCCCAGCCCCCAATTCTTAATCAATTAAAATTTATATACTGGATCTAGACTAAATCTAATATTAAGAAAGGTAACCTTTTCTCCAATAGGTGGCAACTTTTAAGGCTGGAATGGCATAGCACTTGCCTAACAAGTGAGAGTAGCTCTGGATTCAAGCTCTAGCATCACCAAAAAAAAAAAAAAGTAACAAGTGACTAATAGCTTTTGATAATATATTTGGATATATTGATCACTTTCAACTAGAGAAATAGAGTAATACCAAATACCAAAGAGAGAGCACAAGCTTATGTGAGATAATAGAGATTTTTTAAAAAGGGAAGATCCAGTCTTTTGTTACAATCTTTCTTTTAAATTTCTTAACTTTTTACTCACAGGCTTTACAAACTACTCATCTGGCCAGAGATAAAAATGGTAGATCTTAAATGACTGAGCTTAATTTTAGAGGAAGGAAAAATGGTACAGCTAAGAGCCACAAGGAAGACCACAAACAGATACAAGTATTTCTTGACATGGAGAATAACAAAATAAAGGTTATACTTACAACTTGAGAGTCACGAGCTTTAGTGTACATTTTGCCAACATTGAGGCCATCAATGACAATATCAAAAGGAGGACAGGAATTTACAAATTCCTGAAATCTTTTCAGTTCCTAAAAAAGACAGATAAAATATTAACAAGACATTGAATATTATTGTAAAAGGTGACTTGATAATAAAAACACAAACATGATGCTTCTCAGCTGTGGTCCCAGCACTCAGGAAGCTCAGGTAGAAGGACCGAGAGTTTGAAGCTAGCCTGAACAACATAATGAGTTTGAGTTGGGTGTACTAGAAAGACCAGGCTAGGAAGGTGGCTCAGTGGTAGAGTGCTTGCCTCACATGCATAAGGCCCTCGGTTCGATTCCTCAGCACCACATAAGCAGAAAAAGCCAGAGATGGCGCTATGGCTCAAGTGGTAGAGCGCTAACCTTGAGCTGAAGAGCTGAGGGACAGAGCCCAAGCCAAGAGTTCAGGCCCGACAACTGGCAAAATACATAAATAAGTAAATAAATAAATAATAGAGAGACCCTCTCAAAATAATTAAAATACAGTACTGACCAAGGTAGTGAATGCCTGTAGCCCCAGCTATGAGGGAGGTTTAGATAAGAGGATCTTATTCAAGGCTCACCGTGGCAAAAATACTAGATCCTATCTGAAAATTTACTAAGCTGAAAGGGATGGGGATGTGGCTCAAGTGGTACAGCACCTGCCTAGCCACCAGCACTTGGCTCAACAAAAATTTTTTGAGCACCTACTATATGATTAGCACTTTACCACTAAAAAGACAAGAATCCCCACCTTAGTGGAGCTTAATGGGAGGACACACAAATAATCAAAATAAATAAGTGATATTAACTGTCAAATGAGATGAGTGTAGAGGAAAAACAAGAGGACAGTACTTGCTTCTGGCAATGATGGAATAGTTTATGCTGGATTACAGGAACAACAAAAATTCTGTATTTAAAAACTGTGTATTCAGCCGGGCGCCAGTGGCTCATGCCTATAATCCTACCTACTCAGGAGGCTGAGATCTAGGGATCGCGGTTCAAAGCCAGCCTGGGCAGGAAAGTCCATGAGACTCTTACCTCCAATTAACCACTGGAAAACTAGAAGTGGTGCTGTGGTTCAACTGGTAGGCACTGGTCTTGAGTTGAAGAGCTCAGAAACAACATCAAAACCCAGAGTTCAAGCCCCATGACCAATAAAAACAAAAACAAACAAACAAAAACCTGTGTATTGAGGCTGGGAAGGTGGCTCAGCAGTACAGTGCTTGCCTCCCATGCATGAGGCCCTGGGTTCAATTCCTCAGCACCACATAAACAAAAAAGGCTGGAAGTGGCACTGTGGCTCAAATGGCAAAGCGCTAGCCTTAAGCTGAAGAACTCAGGGACAGTGCCCAGGCCTAGAGTTCAAGCCCCACGATGGACAAAACAAACAAACAAAAACCTGTGTATTTAAATATACTAAAGAATGACCAAAAGCAGGCAAAGATGGAAGGAACATGACATTAGAAAGGCTTGATTTTGAAGTATGTCTGGAAATTGATGCTACCTCAAAAAGTGGAATGACATCCACTTCACATGAACATGGGCTCCCTCTTATGAGTGCCTGAATAAACAAAGGCCTGATGCAAAAGTAAGGCTCTGTGACTGCAGAGTACAGGAAATAAAAGACAATGCACCTTTTAATGTCTGTACAAAAAAGAAGAAATGCCTATAAACATGATCTAAGTTTATGCTTCAGAAAGCTACAAAAAGAAGAACCAGGCAAATAGGTCATCCCTACAATCTCAGCTACTAAGGAAGCAGAGATCAAGAGGATTGTGGTTCAAGGCCAGCTCTGGCAAATAATTAATGAAACTCTATCTTAACATCATCATCATCACTATTATATTATTATTATTATTATTTGCCAGTCTGGGGCTTTATCTCAGGGCCTGAGCACTGTTCTTTTGCTCAAGGCTAGCACTATACCATTTGAACAACAGCACCACTTCCAGATTTTTCTGTTTATGTGATACTGAGGAATCAAACCCAGGGCTTCATGTATGCTAGGCAAGCACTCTACCACTAAGCCACACTCCCA